AAAATTATTGCGGGAAGAATTTATTTATTTACTCTCTTACTTATGCATAAAATTTCATCATAAAAATATTTCTATTATTATATATCTATTTTATATAAAATATAAAATATTTATTTTGTTTTATCATTTATTTGGTTATGTTTTTATATTCGTAATAGAAATCATTATTATGTTGCGATTGAACATGTTTTTCCATTCCTTAACTTATGAAAGATTACATCATCAAAGATTGTGTATAATTATCGTAATTAAACAAAATAAAAAAAGTTACAAGTGAATATGTGGTTAATAACGTGTATTAATTCCATGATTACTGATATTGTTCATAAGAGTTACCACATTATAGTTTGACAGCGTTCCCTATGATGTAAATATAGGAATATTTATTACAAACATTAATAATAAATATTATAATTTTCTAGATAAAAATCTTTTACTTATGAACAATTATTATATTTCATAGTATTTACAGTCATGATATTCCTCAAAGACCCAGATAGCCAAGAATGTTAAAATCACGTTTTGCCAAAGCTTTGCGACAAGGTGTGCTTTAATTTTGACAACAATTGTGTAGCAAACATATGTCTTGTTTTGGTTTGTCAAAAAGTTTGAAGCAAATTGACGGCAAAGTTTTTCGTCTCACGATACTGTAAATAATAGAAAAAGGCTTGCCCGTAAATTTTACGCCTAAAAAAACACGTATGATGCTATTCACGGTATAACACAAACTTTACGTCAATTAGTAGCAAATCTTGTTATACACGCTATAATAGCAAATTTACGACAAGAACAGAGCAAACCTTATTGTACGCTATATGATAATACATTTACGGAAAGAGCAAAGTATACTCTGGCACAACAAGACGCAAAATTCACGCAAATAACAGAGCAAACCTTGCCATGCACAGCATAACAGCAAATTTACAACTTTACTTTATTACAAACTTTACAAAAATATAGTATTCTGTCGATAGTTCGTTTGTTCATCGCTATGCGACGCGCTATATCCATCCATCTCGTATTTGATTTTTAGTCATGAGAAGTATATAAAGCTTGCAAAGAGCAACTGGTAGAAGATTAAAAATATAATTATTTCTATCAGTTCAATTACTGATACAATCCCAACTAGGGAATTCAGATATTGGATTGATTGTTTCTCTTAGATCGGGCAGATAAATGTCTGAAAAAGTTTAAATCATCCGTTTATTGTTTACTTAAAATGTAAATATATATATAAAGGGTGTTTCATTATAATATTCCCAGGCAAATATTTCGAAAAATAAAGAAAATTCGACGAAATGTTTCAGACAAAAGTTGTATGGTTTCGAGGGGCACATAAGGTGGTGTCATTGATTTGACCTTGAATAGTTGCTTGAAGGTCACGTGAAGGTCACCTTCAATTTTTTAAATGGAACCGCCTCCTTTTTATTGCATAATATAATCGATTAATATCTTCTTTTGCTTCTAGCGCTTATCGTCGCAAATCTAAATCATGAATAATTCTGTTTTGGTCGTTAGCGTCTTCGAATTTTTTCAAGACATGTTTAGAAATTTGTAATAGTTTTTCTCTATGAGTACCACCTTTTTGTAGGGAGAATTACAACTGCGTCGATACAACTGCGGACAAGGACTTTATCTTTCTAAAGCGATGTTGTACTGTTAATAAAGCGTAACGACCCTTTTTTCACTTTTCCAGAATTCAATAGCTTTTTTTTTTATAGTCATTATTTATAATTTCGCTTTCTTTCAATGTACAACTATCTTCTCCCTCATCTTCATCATTTTCTTCAAGTTCTTCTATTTCATCAGCTGCGACAAATTGTGCTTCGGATAAATTTGAGTCCTAATAATTCTCAAATTCTAACGTAGTATCGGTCTGCATTGCAAATGATATGTCATCCATTGAATTTTGTATAATATCCTTTATAGTATCATGTAATTCGATTTCTTTATCATTTATTTGTGTTCGTGGAATATTTAAAAATTTGGAATGAAACAATTAACATATATTAAGAACATTCGCAGGATTCACATGTAACATTTTGCTTAAATTAAAGATACAGACACTTTTTCCGAAAATTAAAACTCTGACAATCTTACACTTGAATGAATCGTTAAATTTGTAACGCGGTCACCTCGCTCGACGCTCGGATCGGCTCGTCGGTGTCCCGGTTCGAGAGGAGGGGAGACTCAAGCTTACGAGAACACAGAGTGAAGCGAAAAGATAGTTTATTTAAAGCAAGATAGATAGATACAGCAGATAGATAGTGCAGGGCCGGGTGATGTCGTGCTTGGAGCGGTATCGCTGGTAGCAAGGTGCGGGGCGCAAAGCGGAGACGCAAAGCAATGAGCGCAAAGCGGTGAAAAGCGCAAGACAGGTGCGGCGTGCAGTCGTCAACGGTTTTATTTACACGCGACTATGGCGCGGTTACAACTAGCGGGCAGGCTTACGACTAGCGGGCTTAGTACTACGGCGCGATTAGAACTAGCGGACTTATTACTAACAGGTCTTATTTCTAGCAGGCTTAGTACTACGGCGCGGTTATTACTAGCGGGCTTATTACTATCAGGTCTTATTATTACGGCGCGGTTATAGCTAGCGGACTTATTACTAACCGGTCTTATTACTAGCAGGCTTAAGACTAGCAGGCTTATTACTACCGCGGTTATAACTATCGGACTTATCTCTATCATGCGGCGAATATCTACAGCACGGTATGTACATGCACTTACGAGCTAATGTCAGGTTAGGTGGCTAGGTATTGCGGGCAGGGCTGAGTGTCACGTCGGGGCCTGCCTTGGCAACGGAAACCGGCGAAACCCGGTAGAGCTGAACGAAACCTCAACCCGGACAGGTGCTAGAAGCCGGCAAAGCCCGACAGGGCTAAGCGAAACCTTAGCCCGAAGGTAGAGAGAGCCGGTGAAACTCGGCAGAGCCAAGCGAAACCTTGGCCCCGAGAGGTAGTAGGTACTGGTCAGGCTGGTGTCAGGAGTTGGATCGCAGGATGGGATCTGGTCTCGATGTCTCGGCCGGCCGGGCTTATATACCCGGCCGGTGCCCCACTATGCGTTGTCGGTCCGGCGGTGGGGTCGGTTCTGCGTGGGGAGACCGCGAGAAAGATAGCGTTTCTGGAGTGAGCGAGACGGCGCGTGCGGTGTACGAGCGAGTGAGATAGTGCGCGCGGTGTATGTGCAAGCGGGATAGGTAGTGCAGGATAAGATAAGCGGGTTATGCGTATGTCTAGTTATATATTTAGATCGCTACATATATACAACGGCCGTAGTAACGGCCCTGCCGTTACAAATTTGTTGGTTACACTTTATACTAAAGCTGCGCGCAATATTTCCGATTTATATAGAGTCTTATAATCTTATTTACATATTCCTTATATAACATTTTGTAAATAAGGAAAATTACTTCAAAATATTCTCACGTTGCGGTGCAACGTGACTACTTTGCGTTAGAGTTATGCATAAATGAATAATATGTAGGCGATATAAATATACAATATGAGATATAAAACGCGATTTAAATCGTTGCATTTCGATGGTTTTTCACGTCATGTTCCACGGCAATGTAGAAATATTTTTAAATAATTCTCCATATTCAAAAAATTCGATAATGTAATCTTTCATAAGTTAAGGAATGGAAAAATATGTACAATCGAGCAAAATAATCAAGATTTCTATTATGAATATAAAAACATAACCAAATAAATGGTAAAACAAAATAAATATTTTATATTTTATATAAAACTAGAACAACGCAGACGCGCGCTGCGCGCGCGCTTTTATTTGTGGACATTTTCCAATTTCTTTAACTTTTCTTTCCTAACTTTAACTTTTTCTTTCACAAATTGTCAAACTGTCAAAATTCTCATGATTTGACAGTTGCAAATAACACGAATGAAGCAAGTCGCAGCGCACAAGCGAGACAGCCAATCAGCATCGCGGAAAAAAGGCTTCGACGCTTCAATATATTCGAGTTCGAGGTTTCATGCCTTTTTTAGAAACGGATAGATATATAATAATAGAAATATTCTTATGATGAAATTTTATGTATAAGTAGGGGAGTAAATAAATAAATTCTTCTCGCAATAATTTTATCGGACATTTTTCATATATATCTTATGTCTTTATTATCGAGCTGTAAATTGCAAGAGTCATTTACTATTAAACGGAACCTCGCGAACCCGAAAATTTTAATTTTAATGAGACTTTACACACATGTAGAGGGGGTAAATATATAAATTAAGAAATTTTCAGTTGCCGCCCAAAAGTGATTTTGAAGAGTGGAATCACCCCTCCCTTATGTGTTTAACGGCTTTTCGCTTTTCTCGATATATTTCGAAAACTATTCAAGATATCAAAAAATGTTTTATACAAAAGTTTCATGATAAAAATAACTATATTTAACCACATTAATAAAAATTTGAAAAAATGATTTAAAACAAAAATTTTTTTAGAAATCTTTTAAAAAAATAATTTTTTTAGATGTTTATTAATGTAGTTAAATGGAGCTGTTTTTACCATAAAACTTTTGTGTAAAACATTTTTTGATACCTCGAATAGTTTTTGAGATATATCGAGAAAAGCAAAAGCCGCTCTATATATGAGGGGTGCTTTCACCCCTTAGAACCGTTTTTGGGAAGCAACTGGAAATTTCTAAATTTATCTATTGACCCCCCCCCCCTACATGTCTGTAAAGTTTCATCAAAATCAGAATTTTCGGGTTCGCAAGGTTCCCTTGTTAATGGGTAACACGCTATGTCTACAAATTATGGTTCCGTTATGCTATGTGCATAAAGTGTCGATAATACATATAGCCACGTGACAAGGAAAGATGATTGCGTCGTCTTTGTCTCTCTTGCACCGATGTGTGTAGCGTCCGTGAAGGCATACACCAATATGTTAAGCACATGGATGCGATTGTTGGGAGATAATATCAGACAAGGAGCGACAATCGTGTGCTATCCTTGTCCTTGTTCTCAATGTATCACTTTACAGCCGAGATACGTCCTGAAAATGCTTTCTGGCCTCTCGTGGCAGAAAACAGTAACGCAACAAGGCTAACAGGCGCCCATTTGTTGAGAATTTTATATATGCATAATACATGTGTGCATATATATTGTTGCGCCCGCGTGTCGACTTCGATATTACTCGAATACGCGTGAGACAACCAGCACTCGCGTACCGCAAAGTAAATAATAAACACTCTTTTAAAAGAACGAAAAGAACTTTAATAACAGCTTAGAACACAGAACACAAAGCACAGAACAGATAAATCTCGTAAATCAGCCGATACGTCCGATCGGAATCACCACCGACGCGAGACTCTCAAGATGGCCGAACACTCTCAAGATGTCCGCCGTTGTTTCACAACAACCCTTAAGCCCGTATCAGACTACACATTGAAAGTTGAAGATTAAAGATTAAAGATTGGAATTTGACTAATCAGAACAAAAGGGACTAAAATTTCTTTGTCCTGATTGGTCAAATTTTAATCTTGAATCTTGAATCTCAATCTTCAATGCGTAGTCTGATACGGGTTTTAGCGACATGTTTGGAGATGATCTCATAGAGCTCTGTTACACGGCACCCTTAATCGGGTTTAATAACATCCGTAGTTGTAAAACTGGCCAATCACAGCTATTCCTCTGAAAAATGGAATCACTGTGATTGGCCAGCCTTCGAACTACGGATGTTATTAAACCCGATTAGGGGTGACGTGTAAACGTAGTCTGTGAGCTCTGTTACACGGCACGTAACAAGGCTGTAGGAGCAGGAAAGTATACTGTTTTTAGTGATGTAAAGACCGAGAGTAACGAAATGGGCAATTCCCATTTGCTCTTAAAACTTTTAAGAGCCGTATATAATCGTAGAAGCCTAATAATTAATTACTAAACGTTTTAATTAGACTACCAATCACCACCAAACGATTGTCTTTCAATTAAGACCAATTTGAACAAAATTGGTTGGTAAATAATATATTTGTTCGGCTAACTTTACAGCTTCCAGTTAGCCATCTCCACTACCTAACCGCACATGGTTTTTTTTACTTTTTGGATAAATTATGGACCACCAAACGTTGTAAAAAAAAAAATATTGATTATATAATTAATATAATAATTTAATCAACATAATTCTTTTTATAAGACATTTGAATATATAAAAATATAAAAATATATTTTTAACATACGAAGGAAATAAAAGGCAATCAAGAGCCAGCGCGGTAATTTATGCGCATATGTTTTATTACAATCAAATTACATTGATATTTTGACTGCGTGAT